AGTCTTAATCCATAAGGTTCGATATTGAGTTGGCCGGCCCACCCTTGGCAGCTATAACAGCTTCAACTCTTCCAGGAAGGCTGTCCACAAGGATTAGCCTATGGGAATGTTTGACCATTCTTCTAGAAGCACATTTGTGAGGTCAGGCACTGATGTTGGACGAGAAGGCCTGGCTCACAGTCTCTGCTCTAATTCCAAAGGTGTTCTATCGGGTGCAGGCCAGTCAAGTTCCTCCACCCCAAACTCACTCATCCATGTCTTTATGGACCTTGCTTTGTGCAACAGTGTGCAGTCATGTTGGAACAGGAAGGGGCCATCCCCAAACTGTTACCACAAAGTTGGGAGCATGAATTGTCTAAAATGTCTTGTTATGCCGACACCTTAAGAGTTCCCTTCACTGGAACTAAGGGGCCAAGCCCAACTCCTGAAAAATAACCCCACACCATAATCCCCCCAAAAAAAACTTTACACTAAACACAATGCAGTCAGGCAAGTACCGTTCTCCTGGCAATTTCCAAACCCAGACACATCCATCAGATTGCCAGAGAAGCATGATTCCTTACTCCAGAGAACTCATCTCCACTGCTCTAGAGTCCAGTGGCGTCATGCTTTACACCACTACATCTGGTGCTTTGCATTGCACTTGGTGATGTAAGGTTTGGATGCAGCTGCTCGGCCATGGAAACCCATTCCATGAAGCTCTCTATGCACGGTTGTTGTTCTAATCTGAAGGCCACATGAAGTTTGGAGGTCTTTAGCTATTGACTCTGCAGACAGTTGGCGACTTCTGCACACTGTGCGCTTCAGCATGTGCTGACCCTGCTGACATTTTACGTGGCCTACCACTTCATGGCTGAGTTGCTGTTGTATCCAGTTGCTTCCGCTTTGTTATAATACCACTAACAGTTGACCGTGGAATATTTAGTAGAAAGGAAATTTCATAGATGGACTTGCACAAATTGCACAGGTGGCAACCTATCACAGTACCATGCTTGAATTCACTAAGCTTTTGAAAGTGACCCATTCTTTCACAAATGTTTGTAGAAGCAGTCTGCATGCCTAGGTGCTTGATTTTATACACCTGAGGCCATGGAGGTGATTGGAACACCTGAATCCAATGATTTGGAGAGGTGTCCCAATACCTTTGGCAATATAGTGTATATAACATCACCCAGCATTAGTAGGACAGAGGGATTCAAAAAATAACTATAGCTACAGCTGCCCGGAATTCCACTGCCTCCTCAGCCAATGGGGGCTATAACTTGTCCCGGTCTCCAGCACAGAAACCAGATTAGAATCGGAGAAGACACAACACAGATGTGATATGGGCCCAGGAGACATTATGCTGGAGTACAGACACTGGCTACCAAGTTGTTTGCTTGATGGTCCTTTGCTGTTGAATTGGACATCATGTGAAATGTAAAATATTTTGGGGGTAAAGTCCCTGCCCTCCTCCATACTAATTGTACCTTGCCTGGGAAAGAAAATGGCTAGTAGACAGGTCTTCGCCACAGAAGGCATCTTCAAACTTTTGCTCCCAGCCTTCCTGTAGGTGAGCCTGACCCCCCTCACACGCACACACTTTAAACGATAATGCCGGGTAGGTTGCTGTTATGAGTATTGTTAATGTTTACATATTATGTATTGTCTAGTTCTCTGACTGGTTTGAAAGCTTGCCTGGAATTGATCTTTATGAATCAAATAAAAAAACAAAATATGAAAAATATATATAAAAATGTGTAAGGCTGTTTTTATAAATTATGATGCCCTTGGAGAAACGTGGGCAACAACACAAATCTATACAGATATGACTCCATTCTACTGAAGGTAGAATGCAGTCTGCTTCATAGACAGGGCTGCAAATTAATTGTATCAACCATCTAACATGAGCTACATGTTAATTAAATTATGGCTTCCTGTAATTCCACCCAGGAGCACCATACCCCTTGCAGATGAATTATAGTTCAGAGGTTGCCAGAAAGGCATAAATACAAAAAAGTGTGAGAATTAAATACCTTATGTCTCTGCAGTTCTGTGTTACTTCTCTGCCCTGCACAACTGGTTCACAAATGTCCTGTGATAATTACTGCCCTGAATAATATAAAAAAAATACAAAAAAAAACAGTACAAGAACAGTATGTGTCTTTCTCCAAGGATAACACTTAAGATGTCATGAATCCCAGCAGTATATTCATGTGCCTGGAGCTAATTCTTCAAATACACTAAACCCTGCAAGCAATTGTAAAAACCAAAATCAGCTCTGCAGCCAGGAACTGGAATGACAAGTAGTTAAGAGTACCCAAACAGTGCACAGCTTGTGTTTTTGATAGCATTCTGTATGAAATCATATCATTTAGTACTAATCCCTTTGTTAAAGTTAATCTAGTACAAGTGTCGTATGAAATAATATGATAAGGTATAGTAGAGTCAGCAAGAGCTGTGTATGTGAACAATGACATTCTGAGGGGGAAGAGTGACCAAAACCTTGTTTTTTTTATTTTATTTTTGAGTGTCTGAGTGTAGAGGCAAGGAAACCCCATGGAAATTATAATATTCATAATTTTTTTTATTTTGTCCTGAAAACCCCCTAAAAAATAGCAGTCTACTTCTTTCCTGTGACCTCAGCCTCATAGATGTACAGTATAATCTACAGTGTAAGATCTGTTCTTCCTGCACCCCATTTTTTTTATTCTTTATTTAAAATGACAAATTATATTAAGTACACACAATCACATTCCTTAATACACAAAAATGCCCACTTATCCAGATTTATAATGTATACGATATGATTGTCCATTAATGCATCATTATTACATAATACAAAAATAAGCCAAAATAAAAGAAAAAGCAAATTAAGTTATATATCCAGTGAGTCTGCTCAGTTCAATGCTTTGGAATCATTTACAGAGTAAAGCATCAAGTCAATTAAACTGCTGGGATATTGATCTGGTATGTTAAATAGCACAGGGGGTTGCTAATCAGTTTCAGCTGCTTTGGCGTTAATGAAATTAACAACAGGTGCACTAGATGGGCAACAATGACCAAAACAAGAATGGTTTTACAGGTGGAGGACACTGATATTTTTTCCCTACACATCTTTTCTGACTGTTTTTTACTATTTTTTCATTTGGCTAGGGTCAGTGTCACTACTGGTAGCGAGGGGATACCTGGACCCTACAGAGGTTGCACAGGCAGTCCAACTCCTCCAGGATGGCACATTAATAAGTGCCATCGTCAGAAGGTTTGCTGTGTCTCCCAGCACAGTCTCAAGAGCATGGTAGAGATTCCAGGAGACAGGCAGTTACTCTAGGAGAGCTGGACAGGGCTGTAGAAGGTCCTTAACCCATCAGAATCAGTATCTGCTCCTTTGTGCAAGGAGGAACAAGATGAGCACTGCCAGAGCCTTACAAAATTAACTCAAGCAGGCCACTGGTGTGAATGTCTCTGACCAAACAATCAGAAACAGACTTCATGAGGATGGCCTGAGGGCCAGACGTCCTCTAGTGGGCCCTGTGTTCACTCCCCGGCACCATAGAGCTCGATTGGCATTTGCCATTGAACATTAGAATTGGCAGGTCTGCCACTGGTGCCCTTTGAGAGCTGGCTCACCCTGAGCACATGTGACAGACGTGAAAGGGTCTGGAGAAGCCGTGGAGAATGTTATGCTGCCTGTAACATCCTTCAGCATGACCATTTTGGTGGTGGGTCAGTGATGGTCCTGAGAGGCATATTCATGGAGGGACGCACAGACCTCTGCAGGCTAGACAATGGCACCCTGACTGCCATTAGGTATCAGGATGAAATCCTTGGACCCACTGTCAGACCCTACACTGGTGCAGTGTGTCCTGGGTTCCTCCTGGTGCACGACAATGCCTAGCCTCATATAGCAAAAGTATGCACGCAGTTCCTGGAGGATGAAGGAACAAAGCCACGAATCCCAGTGGAGATACGCGTTGGGGAGTGGCAGTGACATCACCACACATCCTTACACGGCGAGCACTGGTAGTGTATGCGAGCACACCCGAGAGGCTGGTCTTCACCGCTTTAAGCGGCTATTATACAAAGTGCAGATTGTTTTTAATCAATGTGAGTGCATAGTGAGTGCATATTGAGCGCATATTAAAGTGTTTATTTTTATCAACGATAAAGCACTATGCACTTTTCTCTATTTACATGATCCGTATGAGGAATACTTAAGGGGCTGGATCAAGGAAAGATCTGAGGAGGTAGAGATCCATATGACCATTCAGGCTTACATAGTAGCCCTCTATCTGCAACCTTCACCTGCATCACCTCAGGCTGATTGGAAGGAGAGCACACAGATATTTCATCCCTGCTGAACTCTGCACCAAGTTTTGTTTTGCGTTTTTGCACAAAATTCATTGAATTTTTACCTTTTATTTATTTTCCATATTTCTCACTTTTTATTTTTGATATTTATTTATTAATTGGATTATTTATTTAATCATCGAAGGACACAAATTTGAATAATTTTGCACAGACTTAAAAAAAATTTTTATCACCAACTTTGTTATATATTTTTCAAATTCATTTATTCACTATTATCAACACATGTTTGGGTATTGATTGGCATTACAATCATGTATGGTTACACATTATAGATCATGCAGCTATTAGAGATTTAATGCAAATACAGTTTTTATACTATATACAGGTAATAGGTCTTGATAGAGCACGGCATCTATATTTTCTTCATTTGTATGCACTGATAACTCACATTTATGAGGGTGAGCAAGATAGCCTGCGATCTTATTGATAGAAGCCGTTTACTATACACCTTATTGGCTCACAAGTAAAAAATGTTTTTATATGGATAAGGGAAAGGTCCATAAGATCTTCAATCAAAGTACATACATCCTGCCAGTAAGATCAAACTAAGGGCAAGTCCAAAAAATATGATAGAGCTTTCCCCTGTCTTCCCCTCACCAGCAGGTGGGGTCGACAGTAGGAAACACTCTATGTAGTCTCTCTGAAATTTTATACCATCTAGTCAGCAGCTTACACTATATTGCCAAAAGTATTTGGACCCCCCCCTCCAAATCATTGGATTCAGGTGTTCCAATAGGCATGCAGATTGCTTCTACAAACATTTGTGAAAGAATGGGTTGCTCTCAGGAGCACAGCAAATTCAAGCATGGTACCGTGATAGGTTGCCACCTGTGCACTAAGTCCATCCGTAAAATTTCCTTGCTACTAAATATTCCACGGTCAACTGTTAGTGGTATTATAATAAAGTGGAAGCAAATGGGAACAACAGCCACTCAGCCATGAAGTGGTAGGCCACATAAAATGACAGAGCGGGGTCTGCGCATGCTGAAGCACATACTAAGCAGAAGAAGTCGCCAATTGTCTGCAGAGTCAATAGCTAAAGACCTCCAAACTTCATGTGGCCTTCAGATTAGCACAACAGTACATAGAGAGCTTCATGGAATGGATTTCCATGGCCAAGCAGCTGCATCCAAGCCTTAAATCATCAAGTACAATGCAAAACGTTGGATGCAGTGGCGTAAAGCACACCGGCACTGGACACTAGAGCAGTGGAGACATGTTCTCTGAAGTGCCGAATCACGCTTCTCTGTCTGGCAAATTGATGGATGTGTCTGGGTTTGGTGGTTGCCAGGATTTTTCAGGAGTTGGGCTTGGTCCCTTCCTGTTCCAACATGACTGCACACCAGTGCACAAAGCAAGGTCCATAAAGACATGGATGACCGAGTTTGGGGTGGAGGAACTTAACTGGCCTGCACAAAGTCCTGACCTCAACCCGATAGAACACCTTTGGGATGAATTAGAGTGGAGACTGTGAGCCAGGCCTTCTCATTCGACATCAGTGCCTGACCTTAAAAATGCAATTCTGGAAGAATGGTTAAACATTCCCATAGACACACTCCTAAACCTTGTGGACACCCTTCTCAGAAGAGTTGAAGTGGTTATAGCTGCAAAGGGTGGGCCAACTCAATATTGATCCCTGCAGACTAAGACTGGGATGCCATTAAAGTTCATGTGCGTGTAAAAGCAGGCATTCCAATACTTTTGGCAATATAGTGTATATCCGGATTCCTGCAGTTCCAATGACAAAGATGATTTGTGTATAAAGTAAAATATAAAGTCTCTTTGGTCCACAGATAATGCCATATTTAGATCTCTTCCCCATGCTGTAACAAAAGAGGGAATAAAAGAGTCCGGAGGAACAACTAACCAGGTTTATGTAAGATGTCGCCAACACCGAAGATCCCATCTAATACTAAAAAGCAGCTGTGGAAAATTACTCTGGTATTTGTCCTTTAAGGAATATGTAATAAAAAATCCCTAAGTAATTAAGTTTCCCCATCACCCATTTGAATGGGAAGCTTGATTTCAAAATAGATACATTGGTCGCAGGGACTGTGAGATTCAGTACTTCAGATTTAGCAAAGTTTATTTTATAATTTAATAATTGTGAATAAAAATTCAGTTCTTTGATTAAATTGGGTATTGATGTTTCTGGGATGATCACAAAAAAGAGCAAGCCATCTGCAAGTGCAGATACTTTGTTAGATGTCTTTCCGACCTGCATACCTGTAGTAGGTCTTACGTGTAAAAACAGCGGCTCTAGAGTGAGTGTAAATATGAGGGGCAAAAGAGTACACCTGATAAATCTCCAAATCACCCTATCAAATGCCTTCTCAGCATCTGTAGAAAAGAGAAGTGTAGGAAGTTGGGTAGAATTGCAAAAATAAATAAGATTGAGGGCTCTGGTAGTAATATCCCATGCCTTTCTCTCTAGCATAAAATTGGACTGATCCAGGTGGATAACTTGTAAGGTAAAAGTCTTGACGCTAATATTTCTGTAAACAACTTCAAGTCCACATTGAAAAGAGAGATTGGCCTGTAGCTTGTGTAGAGAGAAGGATCTTTCTCAGGTTTTGGCAGAGCAGTAGTATGAGTCCTGTGTCTGCATTAAGGAACTAAAGGCAGATTCAAATTGAGGCTGCACCCATGCATTTTTTAATATTCTCCCACCACTCATCATTGCAGCATGGAGCAGTTCTGACATGAGGAAACAAAGTTTCCTCATGTCAGAACTGCTCCTGGGGGAAAAGAATCGCTTGAGAAAGTACAATATTGTGGGTACAATGTTGACCAGCACTTCAGAGGAAAAAGACTTGAAGGTACTTATTTCAGACGATTCTAAAATGAGAAAACAGTATGGCCAGACAGTGAGGAAAGCAAAAAAAATTCTAGGATGCATCACTAGAGGGGCCACCAGCAGAAGGAAGGAGTTCCTGATACCCCTATATAGATCTTTAGTGAGACCTCATTTAGAATACTGTGTCCAGTTCTGGAGACCTCACTTATTAAAAAAGATATTGATAAGATAGAACGAGTCCAGAGACGGGTAAGAAAAATGGTGAAAGGTCTGGTGGATAAAACATATCAAGAGCAACTTCAGGAACTTAACTTGTACAGTATAGAGGAAATAAGGGGAAAGAGGAAACATGATTGAACCTTTAAATACATCAAGGGTGTGAATAAGGTTAAGGAGGGCAGTATTTTCAACACGAAACCAAAATCAAGAGCATGGGGACATGACCTTAAACTAACTGGAGGAAGGTTCAAAAGTAATCTCAGAAAGTACTACTTTACAGAAAGACTAGTTGATGCTTGGAATACACTTCCAGCAGTGGTAATGAGACAGTCAACAGAGAATAGCTTCAAACATGGGGAAATGACCAGCTGCAAAGAGCTCACAGGCAGTACTGGTGTCCTTTGCCCTCTGTTTGCCTTTTTTGGGCACATCCTCCACAGTTCAGGCCCTCAATATTTGTTTTGTCCCTCCAAATTCAAGTAAAATCCTCTAACTTTTACACAACCCCTATAACAGATAAACTTGGCAAAGCAGACAATTCTAAAGGTCTAATTTCATTTTTATACTCTCATCTCCTTCCTAACAAGTTAAATTTTATTTGCAATGTAAGTGCAGATGGTTGGAGGATTTGAGCGATATTTTGGAAAATCAATGGGGGAGATCCTGAAATTACTATCCCTAGTGTCACTATCTCCAAACAACAAACAGGTTGACACAACAAAAACCCAAGCATTATTCTATGAGAGGACTAGATGTTGTTCACTGGACTGAACCCTCTGGAGAGTGTCTTTCTGTATATATAATATCCCCTTTTCTCCTAAGATAAAGATATGGTCAGACCTTAGTATTTGAGTTTAGCAGAAATGTCATGATAGTTTATTTCTAATCTACTCTAATTTTGGTCATTACCTTTGGAGCTGTTGGGATGAATACAAAAAGCCCCTACATATTTTGAGATGTACTGTTCTTTTCCTGCCTGAAAAATTCTGTGCTAGATGTCTAATGTCAAAATGACTTTTAATTTCAAAATCATATGTATGTACCATGTAACTTAATATCCTTAAGAAATGAAGACACATATTTTTGTATATGTTGTATACAACCGTATTGCATAATTTTAACTTTAATGTGGATGTCCAGGCTATTCCTAACTATGCTTAAACCTGCTCCCACCTCCCACCCACCAATTAAAACACCTATTCTAACTACCCTGTGAAAGGAACTACCTCACATGATCTGCCCAGCAGCAGGCTTCAAAGAAGAGAAGAGATCACCCACAAAGGCTGAAATGCCTGTGCAGTGATGTCACTCATAGGCTTATTAGGGGGCATCTGTTGTCAGCTGTCCCTCCTCTCCCCTGTAGCTGCCACTGGGAGCCAATCATGTGACTGGACTGGAGCACCGTCAGAATAGGTAAGTATACATATATTCACAGGGCAGTTAGAATAGGAGTTAGAATGTGGTGGGAGCAGGTTTGAACATAGGAAAATCCTGGACTTCCACTTTAATAAAAACTATTGAAAATAAAAAAAAAGGGCAGTTGAAGTATCAATTCACACTAGTGTAATACACTGCTTGGCCATAACTTTATGAGTACTGACAAGTTAAGTGAATAATATTGATTATCTTGGTACGATGGCATCTGAAAGTCAATGGGATATATTAGGCAGCAAGTAAACATGTTGTTCCTGAAGATGATGTGTTGAAAGCAGAAAAAATGGGCATCACAGTTTGTTGTGTATGGTGCTATGTAATTGCAGACTGGTCAGGGTACCCATGCTGACCTGTGTCCACAGCCATAAGTGCCTACATTGGGCAGGTGAGCATCAGAACTGCACCATAGAGCAATGGAAGAAGGTGATGAAATACATTTTTTGTTTACTTCATGTAGATGGCTCAGTGTGTGTGTGTGTCACTAACCTGGGCAAGATATGGCACCAGGATGCACTATGGGAAGAAAGCAAGGTGGCAAGGAGCTTTGGGCAATGTTCTGTTGAGAAATCTTGGGTTCTGACATTCATGTAGATGTTACTTGACACATACCACCTATCTAAACATTGTTGCTGACCAAGTACACTCCTTCATGGAAACAGTATTCTCTGATGGCAGTGGTCTCTTTTCAGCAGGATAATGCACCCTACCATACTACAAAAATGCTTCAAGAATGGTTTAAGGAGCACAACAAAGAGTTTGGGGTGTTGACCTGGCCTTCAAATTCTTCAGATCTCAATCGAAACAAGCATCTTTGGAATGTGCTGGAAAAAAAGTCAGATTCACAGAGGTACCACCTCACAACTTACAGGACTTAAAGGATCTACTACTGACGGCTTGCTGACAGATACCACAGCATACATTCAGAGGTCTAGTGGAGTCCATGCATCAACAGGGCTGTCTTAGTGGCAAATAGAGGACCTAATCAATATTATGTGGGTGATCATCATGTTATGGCTGATCTGTGTATATTTTTCATGGCTGCAAAGTAGACAGCTGTCAAATCCTTAAAAAGGCTTCTGTGTGGCTTTTCCATTACTGGAATAAAATGCCTTCCTTCATCTTCATCCTACACTGCAGCTTCTCCCACCTTCTTCAATAGTGTGCTACTACTCTGGCTACACTAAAAGGGTACAAGGCTTGTGATGAACAGATGGGAAGAGCTATGTATCCTGAAAAAAATTGCAATAATAAGTATAAATCACAAACTCGTCTCAGGGGAGCATTCTTTTATTTTGCCCATGTCACCCTTTCAAATGCTAACTCTATCATTTATACCACGTTTCATGTAATGACACATTTAGGGGGTAACATGAAACATAGTCAGAATGTACAGACCCCTGACAACAAACTGGCCCCCCCACAGCTTTGTGGGGTTCTTCTTCCTGCCACCTCCTGTCAAATCTGAAAGTGAAACATCTTTGCGTGGCCCACTCGCAGTATTACACAAACACTGCCTTTGTAGGGGGGGGTCACTGCACTGCAAGGGTTAAATGCTCGTTAAGTCTAGGGGTAGATTAATGAGGTGTAGTACTTTCTTCCTCTATGTGACAAGTCCCTTGCAGCCTCTGCTCTAAGACAGCCCATAGATGATTTGATTTTCTTTCCTTCCATCATAAGTGGAAGGAAAGAAAATCGCTCAATTCCCCCATCATGCCTCCTGCAGCGCTATTGTGTTCTGCCGGTGGGGGGGGCACCTTCCTGGCCCCAAGAACTCAATGATTACTGCTATCAGCTATAGCTGCTGGATGTAATTGCATGTTAAAAAATACGACAGGTTGGTTGTACCCAAGTTGATGAATGGATTGACTTGGGTGCAGTCAGCCTGCCCATACATGGATTGAATCTCAGCCGCTCTCTGATGAACTGGCCGAATTATGATCCATGTATGGCTGGCTTAAGACACTCAGGCTGGTGGTCATCAAATACAATCCAAGGCCAAAAGGTTAACCAATGTTTACAAAACAGTGGTATTCGGGAATTTTCTTTGGGCAGTACATAATTTTAAAGGCTGCAAAAGGTAACAAAACAACGTGGAAATCATAATTTTTTTGACTGTCACAACTTAAAGTCAACCACTGTGCTATGCTGGAATTCTCCTTTAATTAACCTATACTGGATTTTTAATATAGACCCTGAAAGTGCTTGCAGCATACCAGTCATAAGGTTCCACCACTAATAATAAAAAGTGGTAAAACAGACAAAAGCCTGGACTACAGCCAGTGTCAGGCCTCTGCTCACAGCTGGATCTTAGCACCTTTAAAAGACATTAAACATATGGAATATCTATAGGCAGGACCTATAAATTAGGCAATATTACTATTATTCCCAGAATAACAAAAATCAACATTTGCTGTATGTGCAGTTTTCTGCTCATAACAGATGATGCAATATTCACAAAGAAACAAATATTTTGTTTTGAGAAAAAACAAAAAAAAAACTGTTTTTGGATTTACATCTGTACAAAATGTAAACTTCTATTTTAGAATGAGGCAGTGTTTCTCAACAGTATTAGTACGCATTTGTAATAATACAAGCTTACAAACAGACCCCTTCACTTTGAAGTCTGCAGATTTTAACCCAAATAGACTTGGCCACTGTCTTCATAAACAAAATAATGGCACTTTATACCTCCCATTGCCAGGATTAGGTTCAGTGGGCTTTTCTCTGATTCAGCACCCATATCCAATGAGACATCAGGGCTGCCCCCTATCCCATATCTGTATATCTTAGCCTTGGAACATCTCTGCAATGCCTTAAAGCAGTATTAAACCCTAAACCAAAAAGGTAATATATTGCAGTTTACCAATTATTAGATGTGGTGGCAGCATTTGTTTTCTTTTTTTAAGCTTTTCCCCTCTGTTTTCATCTGGTGATCTGGCCATTAACATACTTTCTGTATTAGGGTGCTTACGCTCTGGATGAAAGAGCAACAGAGATATTTTGACAGCAGCATTGTCAGATTGGGGGAAAGGTATTGTTAGATGCACTAGCAGATTTAGATACGCTAACAAATTATTTATTACAGGTACTTATATAGCGCCATCAATTTATGCTGCGCTTTTACTTATATATATATATTGTACATTCACATCAGTCCCTAACCCTCAAGGGGCGTACAATCCAAATCCCTAACTTACATTCATACACATACTAGGACCAATTTAGACAGGAGCCAATTCACCTACCAGCATGTCTTTGCCTGTGTGGGTTTCCTTCAGGTATTACGGTTTCCTCCCACACTCCAGAGGCAAACTCCAGGCAGGTGGTGCCGTGGTTGGGATTCAAACCAATGACCTAATACTGTCAGGTGGAAGTGCTAACCATTTAGCCTCAAAAGCTGAAAGCTGAACTCCAGCTGACATGTTTAACCGCTAGCCTACAGGGCACCTATACCCCCTTCCTGCCCAGGCCAATTTCCAGCTTTCAGCGCTGTCACACTTTGAATGACAATTGCGCGGTCAAACAACACTGTACCCATATGAAACTTTTATCATTTTTTTTGTGTGACAGATAGAGCTTTATTTTGGTGGTATTTAATCACCTCTGGGTTTTATATTTTTTCTTAAACAAACCAAAAACCACTGAAAATTTTGAAAAGAAAATGTTTTTTCTTAGTTTTTGTAATACAATTTTGTAAATAAGTGATTTTTCTCCTTCACTGATGTCCGCTAATGAGGCTGCACTGATGGGCACTGATAGGCTGCACTGATGGACACTGATAGGTGGCACTGATGGGCACTGATGAGGAGGCACTGGTAGGTGGCACTGATGGGCATTGACAGGCATCACTGATGGGCACTGAAGGGCAGCACTGACTGGCACTAATAGGCGGCACTGACAGGCGGCACTGACTGGCATTGTTAGGCGGCACTGACTGGTACTGTTAGGTGGCACTGACAGGCGGCACTGACTGGCACTGATAGGTGCCACTTACTGGCACTGATGGGTGACACTAAAAGGCAGCTCAGATGGGCACTGATATGTGGCATTGATGTGGCACTGATACGTGGCACTGTTCAGCACTGACATCTGGCACTGATGGACACTGACAGGTGTCACTGCTGATGATCAGTGGTGCCCTGATGATCAGTGTACACGTCCCCTCCACGGAAAGCTGATTACCGGCTCTCCTCTCCTCTTGAGCTGTCAGCGTGACAGCTCGAGAGGAGAGAAATGCTGATAACCGGCATATCCCTGTTTACATGTGATCAGCTGTGATTGGGACACAGCTGTTCACATGACCGAGCCGACATCTTCGGCTCTTTCCGTGATCGGTGATCCGCTGTGTCCGAGGGACACAGCGCACCACCGATCGCTGCGCGCTCCCTAAGCCGCGCATGCGCAGTGAGAATGGGAGGACGTCATATGACGTCCTCCCAGAACGAGAAAACCACCTTGCGCCCGTCATATTACTATATGGCGGGAGGTGGTTAAAGAATTTACAGAATACAGTTTTGCTCCTTTGGGATAAAGGTTTTACATAAATAAATAAAAGATGCTCATTGTAAGTACCACTGTCATTGTTGAATAGTTTGTCTCAACCCTCCAACTGCTAATTCCGCAGGACAGCTTGTTTTGACATACTGGCTAGATCACCAATTAGAAATAAAAGAAAGAAAGACTAAAAAATAAATTTAATAAAAGGAAAATGAATACAGTCCTCACATCTAAGAATTCATAAACTGCAATATAATAAAGGTTTGCTTCTGAGTTTATTACTGCTTTAACAGCTCAATTCATCATATAATGTTTGAGAACACCACTCATAAATTGAATCTCTTGAATGACTTGCTTCTATATGTTTTTAACGCAAGAATGGCTTTCCCTTTCCTATTCAGGAACTAGAGCTCTTTGGTCATCTTAGAAACTTTAACATTAATGCCACAAAAATCAGAATGCCTAGATATCTCCCTGCAACTTCATGAACAATCCTTACTACAGGACACATTTCCCTTCCGCTTGGTGCCCCCCCTTCATCAAATACCTTGGTGTTCATATTCTGGCAAACAAAGGCAAAGCTTTTCAACCTTAATTATCTACCTTTATAGGCACCCATATGTCAGCTGACCTCTTCGTGCAGTTGCAATGATTCCTACATGTTGGGATCCTTCACCCTTTTTGCACTGTGTTCATCCCTACTTCTTTACCACTGGGCTCCTCAAACAGAAGGGTAGGACTGGACTGCCTCATTTTGAACTCTACTGTACAGCAGTTGTCCTAAACTGTATCAGAGGCTGGTTTCTTCCATACCCGTACTAAACTGTGGGCATTTATGGAGCAGCATTCTACACTTATACGCCTTGAGTGCCTTCCCTGGGTCTGACTGATACATCTACTACTTTTGTCACACACTTCCCCTCTTTGTAGTCTTTCTGCTGGAAATCTAGGACCAAGTGTTCTGCACATACATTTCCTCTCATTTGGGCCCACAGATTCTTCCCCTTGGAAACCCTCCCTGGCCTTCATACTCCACGCAAGCTTTAACTGTTGTTAGCCTTAAATTGATGGTGGAATTGTGCCCTGCAGATCATCCCTGCCCTGCTAGTGATACATATAAATTGCAGAAAGAGACCATTTAATGGCATGGTGTTTACAGACACTTTAAACAAAGCTGGTCAAGGGCCGCAATGAAAGGGAAAAATTACTCCTTGCAAGCTTTGAAGCATTGGCCTAACATACTTTGACTACTTCCTTTTTACCATAGCTTCATTTATGAGCTATTGACTAAAGCGTGGTTGGTCACATACCTTGGTTTAACCCAAAATCCAAAAAGTTTCAAGTCTCCCTTTTTTACCATAACCATTTTTTCTGTCTATAAGCATAACATTTGTGACATAATATTAAACAATTCCAAGTCAGTTCCAAGTGGAGTTCAAATAGACCTCTAGACTTCAGGTGCACTCACAGATACCCACAGAAACAGTGACATGGGCACTCTGCTACCAATATCAAGGAATGTTAAAAGCTTTAGGTGGACAACCTCTGTGATTTGGACAAACTGAAACACATTATTCAAGTTTGTACAAGTTAACTGGTTTGTCATCTTTTAATTATTTATGTCGGTTAATCATCCTTTGCCTTAATATTGTCAATTAACATGTCTATATTTGTGTCTTTGTTTCTAAGTAGTTCATTTAGACCACATTTCCTGCCAAGTATATCATCTGCTAGTTATACTATTGTTTATCTACTGTCAAAGGGACCTATAAACCAAAAATGAACTGGAGAGCTTTCAAAGAACTAAACTACATTTACACACTACTCAAACCTGTGCCAGCTAAAAGCTTAGTTACCCAGCTGTTCTCTGTTTTATTGCTGTAGTGTTTAGACATGATCTTCAGTGAATTAGGAAAGAACAATTAACGATCCCTAATGGGAAAAATAAAACAAACAATAGTACAATATGCTTCTGCACAAATGGTTTCCAAAAATACATTAATGCAATAAAACAGTGCTTCGCCTAAAAAAAAACCCAATGGTCAACAGACAACACAGTGTAACTGTATTCTTTGTATTCTTACTGAAAGGAAATCTAAAGTCACACAATACACTTTCATTTTACAACATCAGCATTGTAACAGAAATATAAAATCTAGTTATTTTTGACAATCCAATATAAGCTTACTTGAAAAGTCTCCTTTCATGTTGTGAGTGCTGCCTGTTGGTTGACCATCTATTCCATGACTTCCTGGATTCCCTGCATGCTTTGCAGCTTCTCCTCTGCTGCTTACATTCAGCTTTTAAGAACTACATATCCCATGGTACCTTGTCTGCAGACAGTGATTCCTGTACTGACTCTGCCTCCTGAAACTTCTACTCTCAGCATCGCTGTAGTTCAGAAGGTTGGGTCTGTGAAATGTGTGACACAGCAGTGCCTACTCAAAAGGCGTAATGAATATGTGTCACTGCATAAATGTTTGGGGTTCTTCAAAAAGAAAATTTTGAACTTCAAGATCATTCAGATTAATAGGAGTAGGCTAGAAATAACTGATAGCCAATGTGGAAATTAATTTTAGATTCTGCATTTTGACCAAAGTCTAAAGGTTGCTCAGACATATTCAATCCAATACAACTCCCAAACATTTCTACTAAGAACTTTTTTGGTTACATTATTTTTTTCATGAAAAGGCAATTGAAAAAAACTCATATTGGAGAATCGCACTCACAAGAACTAAACACATTTACTTTAGAAAGCAACAAAGATAAAAAATATTTCAGGACTCTTGTACAAAGTGATATTAGTGAGGCTGCAGAATAAATGCAGCATCAACACTAGAGTGGCCATTGGAAGCAATGCTAAACAATGCATTTTTCAGTTTAATTTCCTTTTTCTTTATTGGTCATGTCCTCTCAAAGCATAAGGCCCCTTTCACACGAAGGGTCCGATCAGGTCTGCCTGTCAGTTTTTAAGGCAGACCTGATCTCTCCATTCACTCCTATGGCCTGGTCTGATCCAGTCATTAACAAAAAATGGAAAGGGATCTGTCCCCTTTCATCTAGGCAGATCGGATTCAAGGACTCCACTGTCCGTTTAGACCTGCAGGTCCATAGCAGGGAGCAGGTTCTATGTCCGCTCTGCAGAAAAACTGATCAGACAGACCTGTCATTCACACGCTCTGCTCTTATCCACGGACTGATCCCCAGCTGATTATAACGCGGTTTGCCCCATGACTAAGCTCTGAGGAGTGGGGGGGAAACATGTTGGGAGCATAGCCTGGTGGGAACCCAGGCTGAGACTGCCATTTACCTCCATTCAAGTGGGTCTGCATTGATGTGTAGCAAATGGGATACACCTTTTGTCAAACCGATGTTTGGAGCCAAGACAAGCCCCTTCCCTGGCCAGCAATGGCCACAGGATTACTATACATTATAGCCTGAGCGGCACACAATTCCCTTTATCGGTTCACACCTTACCATTCTGCGACTCTGGCATCGCTGCATGATAGGCATACCATACTTGGTGGGAGGAGGGCATAAATATGTCAACTAAAAAAAACGCACTTCTTTAAAGTGTCACTAAACCCACATCAAAAAACTCATAAATGCTGTATTACATGCTGTTCATACTCACAGTTACTATGAGATTTTTTTTTTTTATTCTGCAAAAAACCTGGTTGATCCTGCTGTTCTCTATCTCCCCTTCTGTCCATGTCCCCAGTGCAGTTGGGGATTTTGCAGAACAGTGTTGGAAGCTTTGCACATGCTCAGTTTTCAGTGAGTTTCTATGCTGAGCATTTGCTCCTTTTCACATCTGAGCAGCCCATGTGACCATGCAGTCACACATGTGGGCGTATACACAGTAGTAAATGACAGCACACTCCCTTCCTCCTCCTGCATGCTAACCAGCTAAACACAATGAGGTTGGGATATTACATGTAGATTTTTGGAGGCTTCACCTCTCTCTTATTCTCAGACACAGGCTGGAGGGATGTGACGCAGCTTGTGACTGGCAGAAATCCACCCATATCGTGTTACTGCCAAAAATAATTTGGATTTCAAATATATATTTTGTATGATGATTTAAACAGTTTATTGATATTTATTTTTACTGTGTGTTCCAAAGACTGATTTTTTATTTTGAACATGTGATCAGTAGAGAGGACTATAAGCTCCTCCTGCCACTGTTTCCCTGCAGAAAGGCTGGGAAAGATCTGGGTCATGTGACAGTTGTATATCAATTAGGAATAAGGTACTCAGATTTTTTATTTTTTTTATTACAATAATTACAGTGCCATCATCCATATACAGAAATAGAAGGGACAATGTAAATTAAACAGTGTTTTTAGTATCATTTTAAGGGTTCCCAATGAAAAAGCTTAGAAATTGCCTACATGATCTCTGCTCAAGTTATAGTTCGGCCATTTAGAAATGAACATATTTGCTTTGCTTTATCGAAAAACAAAAGTTCTACAACACAGATCTCTAATTTCTACTTCTGCAAATAATGAGATTCATTTAAAAACTATATACCTTATGCTCATGATACGCCAGTTAAATAAAACATGGTATTTAGATGAAATACTCAATTAGGCAGCTATCAGTGCTTGCTGTTGACCATTCCAAGGAATGTTATCCTCCATGGTCACAAAAGTAAAA